CACTGTGGGACCCAATTTCCAGCACTCCCTGAGAATTAATGCAGCTCTCCACCTTGGCTCCACTCCATGCCACACCTCATCCTCCTGCCAAGGGCCAGCATGACCTCCTATTATTGGCTACCAGCACAGCGTGGGACCAGTCCCAGTGAGAGCTTCTGATTCCAGCTTTCATCCACATTTTTCCTTTCTTCCCTCCTTTCTTTATTTCTTTTTGTTTTTCTTTTTCCTCAGTTTCTTCCTGGTCATAAGAATCCCTCTCCTTTTGTCTGGTCTTCTCCATGGTGTTAAATTCTAGCGTCTGAGTTGTTTTTCTTAGAGAGGCTCTCTGCCCTGCGACCTATCAAGCCGCCATCTTCAGACCACCTTGCTATTGTTAGCCTCCATTCATGGACTTGACTCTACACAGTGCTGGCTGAAGACTGAGCTGCATGAGAACCATGGTCAGGTTCAGTGTTGTCCTCGAGGGGAAATTTGATTCAGTTCTTGTCTAGGGTGGTTTTCAGCCAGAATCATGAAGAGAACTGAGTTTGTAGAGGGGAGAGGGAGAGACCAGAAGAGAACTGGGGCCCTGTCGTGAAATGAAAAGTAAAAATTGCTGGGGACACCACTCAGTGGGAAGGCCCCGGGTTGGATCACCAGGACCACCAAAAATCAATTATGTTAATGCTGAATAGCATTAGTTGTTACAATAAAATTATGCTGTGTTTACTGTGAATATTCTTATATAAGAATTAATGCTATGCATGTATTTTAAATTATTTTAATAGTATATAAACTGCAGAAGAAAATTAACACTTAAAAGTGAACACTTAATCCTGCACGTGACCATTAGCCAAAGAAAAGCATGTGTTTCCCTGGGGATGTGGAACTCGGCCTAGTGATCAAGGCTGTAAGTGTAGAGTGCAGTTTGCTGGGGAGCTTCCGAAGCTTGGAGCACAGATGGGCTGTGTTCTCTAGGATGTCACTCAAGATGCCGCCACAGGTCACACACTGCCACTAGCTGCGACTGTGGGGATGCAGGGCCAGGTCGCTGTTCTGCTGGGTAAAACTTCAGCTCACGGGTGAGGCCTTCACGTTGTTAGCTTTGTGCGTCGTCATGCCTTCCTGCACCCCTGCTGTCCCTGGGAGCCCGCACTTGAGTTTCTGCCCTGTGCTCAGATGTGTGCGGTTGAAGGAAAGAGTAGGCATAACAGCCCGCTCCTGCCTGGTCCCCTGATTCTATCTCTCCTTCCCGGACTTTATGACCAGACACTCACTGCCTTCCTGATAACTGTGGGAAATTCTAGCTCTGTGTAAAATCTTCCTCTCAAGCACTGGCACTTGTGCTGACGATGCCAGTAGGAAGAAGAGTATTCTATACCAGTCAGTCATGTGGCTAAGAGTTAACTGTGGCCAAGGCTGAGGCTCCAGGACACAGTGAGAGCTGCTGGGTTATCTGCTGGGAGCATATTAGACGTGCTAGATGCACCTTGCTAAGCCCTCCAAACTATATGGCTGAGCCTGAAAGAAGACGGGACTCAGACTCCCTGAAGTAACCTGAGACTCAGAGATGACAGAGCTCAATGCTTGATGTGTCACCTTTGAGGCCTCTGTGTGCTCCTCTCCTGGCTTTGAGTTTCCACTTCCAGAGTCTTGTGACTCCAGGAGAATGAAAGCGAAAATCCCAAGGTCCTTCTGAGGTTGCAAATGGACACCCCCTACTCAGCTGGAACCCCAGGTGAGGCATTCTTGCTGGTGAGGGAACGAGAGAGGCAGAGCCCGCTCCAAAGTAAGGTGCAGATGGCGACGTGGATGAACCAAGAGCTCAGAGACCAATGGCTCAGGGCCACCAGCAGCTGTCAGCCTCACTCATGGGGTATTTGAAAATAACCTGAGCTAATGCAGCTTAAAGTAATTTTCAGAAAAACACAAACTTTAGGAAGTCGAAAAATTAAATGAGATGAAAGTTCTGAGTTTTTAAAAAACAAAAGTAGTAATCAAGCTGGTAAGTACATACAAATAAAAAAAAGATTAATTCATAGGGCTCAAAAATTCAAATGGTGTCCATGTCAAATTCAAAGTGATTAAAATTAAAGTTGTTGAAATCAATAGCTCATCTTGAGAGGAGAAGCAGTAAAAATCAACATATTCCAAGGTTTTAGAGAGGAAAATAAGAATACTGTAACTAAGCCAGTACCAGCATTTTTAGAGGAATTTTCTTTGAAATAAACAGAACCACAGAAAAGCAGGTGGAATAGGAAAGAGGGTTTCCCGTCCATGGGCATCAGACCCATGTGCACACCTGAGCTACCCGATTCCCGGTGAGGACTTTGAGGGTGGTCAGATGCACCTGCACCTGCACCTGTGTGCTCCATGTAGAGAAGAGGGGCCCCGAAGACAAGGCCAACAAACCTTGTGAAAGAGCAAGCAAGGGTCCCTGGGGTAGCAGAAACCTGTGCAGTGGTGGAACAGGTGACCACTAGGGGACATGACTCGGGACCTACATGGCAGGGACAGGAGAGTCTTCAGGACTCTACTTCTGTAACTCCACAGTATACCACAGGGTGCCCAGCTGGGCCCCACGGCCGACAGCATAAGGTTGTGGCAATCCAGTCAGCTCCTGGTGTTGGAGGCAGGGGCTGAACTGACCTTATGGATGACTTTAGGGCTGACCACATGCTCTCTGTCTCGCAATGGTGGTGAACAAAGCTGGTGCTCTTTTTATTGGTCTTACTGTGTCGTAGATACAGGCAGATCTGTTTCCCAGTGCACAACAGCAGTTAGAGGAAAAGAGTGATTCAGAGAGCACCTGCCTTCAATTAGCTAAGAGACTTAGCTGCATAATACTCAGTCTTCCCAGCAGCTTAATCACTCAGCGCACTCTGCTGCTCATAGAGTAGTTAGCTGAAGATCTGCAAGGGGAGTTACCATGAAGTCATGAAATGCTAATTAGGACCTAATGAGCCAGTCTGGGCTTTGATGAAATTTAGGCCAGTGGCAGGATCACTGATGCTAGTGTCTATGACCCTTTCTCTTGGATTTTTAATCCTTTTCCACACAGTTCTGCATATTCATTTGTCTCCTGTTATTCATCATCTCTTCCTCCCTTAGTTCAACAGTCCCTCATTCTCAAAGAGCAAATTTTGTTCTTTTATTTCTCATGTCCTAACTTTATATTTAAAGTGATCTCATTTATCTAGTCAGATGATAAAGAGATAGAAAGGCAGATAGATAGATAATGAGTAGATAGATGAATGAATGGGGGAGGGATGTATGGATGAATGGTGAATGGACAATGGGTTTGTGAGTAGATAGCTGGATGGAAAGATGGATGAGTAGACTGGAATGAATGGGTGGATAGATGGATGGGTGAATGGATGGATGGATGGATGGATGGATGGATGGATGGATGGATAGATGGCTGTGTGGATGAATGAGTGGATGGATGGATGGGTGGGTGGATGAATGGGTTGGTGGGTGGATGGATGATAGAGTGGTGGATAGGTGGTGGGATAGGTGGTTGGATGGCAGGATGGTTGTCTGGATGGATGGATACATGATAGATGATAGATGGATGGATGGAAACATAGAGAGATAGATACAACAGTGTTCCAGAATTTACAAATCAGGAAGCGAAGCCACCTGGGAGCATAATTTCTACCACTGTTCAGCCAGACAGAGAGGTCTGCATACAGGGCTTCTTGCTCTTTCTTGTAGCAGTGCCATAGACAATAGATCAGTTCACAGGGAAAGGAGAATTTATCCAACAGCCTAGCACACAGTGGAGGAGAAGAGAAAACCCTTTCTGACTGAACATAAAAGTCGGGTGGGAACTCGCTGTAAGCTATGAGTCTTTAGGTGCATTTTCCTACTATTTGGGACCCAGCAGCTGCAGGAACTGGAGAGAACAGCCAGTTGGTCCCAGTCTGTGTGACTCTGAGACCTAGGGCCCTGCAAGAGCCTGGATGGAATCGAGGTGGTTTGTGCTGCTGACCAGGCACCGCTGACCAGGCACCCTGTGGCTGCAAGCTGAGGGGCAGGGCCCTGAAGCTCGAGTAGGATCTCTTCATCAGCCTGCCTGCCAGTCCAGCCGTGTCATGCTCAAGTGAAGTGCTAGTGAAGCTTCTCTTCATTTCTTTTCTTTCATTTCCTTCCTTCTTTTCCCTCCTTTCCTTTTCCTCCCTTCCTTCCTCCTTTCTTTTCTCTTTATTATTTTTTTGACAAAAATGCAAGTACAAAATTTCTACATATTTTGTTAAGATTAGGATAGGCGAAATTTTTAAAAAAAGGAGAACAAGGGATGACAGGAGAAAGGAGGGAAGGGGAAGGGAACGGAAAGAGGAAATCAAATGTGTAATAAACACATGCCACTTCCCACAAGGAATGTGAACATTATGTACTACACACTTGATGTACTCTACTAAAATAAAAATTAAAAAGCAAACATTTAGATCTAAAAAAGTGAAAAAGAAAGAGATCAAGTTGACTACCCTGGAACACTCTTGCAAGAGAAAGGGGTTTAACCTTATTCTGGCAAGGCAGGAACCCGCCTCAGCCACCCCTGCATCCTTGACCTGGTCAGTACAGGAAGTCAGCAAAGACAGTTGGTCACCTGAGGGCTAGGACCTCAAAACAACCCTGCTTCATTGAACTAATGGTTCTTGGAGATTGACGTTAGTTAAGTCATTGAAGGTGTGGTCCATGCTTATATTAAACTACTGTTAAGCAGCAGCACACCCCAGGGGAGTGCTGTGTATGTGCTCAACACATGGAGGTACATGTGTCATATCAGTGATTGACTGCTCATCAGTGTCTTGCTAGAATTTGTTATATGCAAGGACAGTCAGGATGCCTGCTACCTGTAAGGTGTAGCCTGGGGAACAGACACGCTTTGTAGATGGTCACAAAGGGTCCATGATGCCACCTTGCATGCTCAGCAGGAGTGAGCAGCCACGCCTACTTTGTGGACACCTCCTGTCCAGACATCAACTGACTGGCCATTCTCTGTCTGTCCTTTGCAGCTTCAGTTGCATCCACCTGCAATGATCCAGGGATGCCCCAGAACGGCACCCGCTATGGAGACAGCCGGGAGCCAGGGGACACCCTCACCTTCCAGTGTGACCCAGGGTACCAGCTCCAAGGACAAGCCAAGGTCACCTGTGTGCAGCTCAACAACCGGTTCTTCTGGCAGCCGGACCCACCCACATGCATAGGTATCAGGCGTGGGAAACGGAAGCTTTGTATTTGGAAATGAATGGGCACTATATCCTGTGGGTTAACACTTTCTCTGGAAGGTATTATTCCTTTGGAAATACTTCTTACAAGTTTCTTATGTGTCCTGAAGTTCCCTGATGCCATACTGAAATTTTATGGTAAATCTTTAAACTTTACTTTAATAGGTGAAATAAAGGAAGTAGTTTATTTAGTGTACAGAAATTGACATTTATCTAACACATCCTGTCCTTAGCAATTCTTGTATAAATATAGATCAAGCAGAGCACAAAGCACTGTAATTTAAAATTCCAGGTGGCTCAAAACTTATAACCCTGCATGGCTCTTCTCAGTTTTAATATAGAAACATGCCCTTAAGCAAAACCTACTCACTGAAATGTACTTTCCCTTTATACATGTGTCCTTTCCATAATATTAGTACGTTTTAAGTAAAGTTCCCACAACTAGAAAATAGATTGCTTTTGTGAAAATGAAGGAAAAAGGAGAAACTTGTTCCTCAGTTTCATCAAAAATTTATTGCTTGGCCTTATTAAAGGATATTGAATGGTTTCACAGGCCTCGGATTGAACCAGCATGTAAGGTGTCTCTCACAAATGTGGTTTTAGGGAAATATAAAATTTATTTCACATAAACTGGTAATTACAAGTAGATGGTCCCTGTATTTTATTACATATTTGAACACAGAATGCCTGTTTCAAGTGTTTCACCTTCATCGTAGAAAGTTACTCCTTTGGGCTTTATTACTGTTATGAGCTATGAGAGTTTGATCAGCTCTTCTTTATACTCTATAAAATTTTGTTGATCTCTGAAGGGAAGCAGAGGTAGTGCCATGGTGGGCACATAGGGTGGGCAGCTCGGCACACGGTGACCCCGGAGATGTCACACACAGTGGGACTCATGGGCCCCTGTGGACCACTGCACTCTGCCCTGTCCTCCTTATGGGATGCAGGAGGACAGGGGACCAGCCACAGCTCTACCCTGGCACTGCGGCTCCCAGCGCTGTGTATGCAGGCCTGCCCTGAGGTTCAGGACGGTGTTTGCCCTGGGAGCAGTGAAGGCTTTCTGTGTGTCCCTTCTCGAAAGTGAAGGCATCGTCACGGGTGCAGCCATCACCTCCAGCCCAGGGCCACTTCGCAAATGAGAAAGGACATCTTTTTCTTTATCTGTCTTCTATCTTTATAGTTTCTTGGACTTAAGAGACATTAGGAATTCATCTTTTAATGGTAATTCATCATTTTACATTAACTTAACGTGAAATTTGAGCACCTTCCCATCTTCTGAGCCTTTTGGTATTCATTTCCTAGTTACCTAATTTTGGTCAGCAACTAAATAATCCATTCACCCCAAGCCACACAAAACACGTCCATCCCCAGAGTGAGCTAAAATCCATGCAGGCAGTTAAGCCTCCTTGACTGACAGGCATCCTGCTGGGCACGGAGACTGTAGCAGAGAGGTGGGAGCAATGAGCATTGTCTTCTGCTCTCCTATTTCCGTGAAATGAGGTTGTGTCCTGTGTAAGATACTTGCACAGTAGGACCTCGGCCGATTGAGCTCATTTTCACACTCACTTTAACTGCGTACTGAAGAGTCGTGATACTTAATTTCTTACTTTTCTCCTTGTTGAAAGACTGCATGTTCACTGCAGATGTTTTATAAGTCAGAGTAAATCAAAAAGAGGAGAAAAAAGCTAGAAGCAGTTCCTAGTAACATAATCATGCATAAGCTTCATAAATCTGTATACAATAATTTACTTTAAAATGTTTTCGATAGTAACAGAGTCCTGCAGGACTGCCTTGGCACTTGTGGCTATGACTGAGTTTCAGTACCTTCTGGGTTGCTCAGTTTTCCACTAACTCTCATGGCGCTAGTGCCTCTGGAAGGCCATGCCCTGCTCCACCCTCAGTGAGGGGCATTTTACCCTGCATCTTTTATTTCAGTGCTCCCAGGCTGACTTCTCTTGGCCCTAATTTTCTAACAGTTCGGTTTTTTTGTTTGTTTGTTTTGTTTTGTTTTTTGCCTCTTTCCTATTCTGAGGAGACAGTGAATATCTCTGCTTTGAGTACCCATAATTGTAAGCAAGTAATATATGACTCACATCTCTCTCAGATATTTTCTTACAGGTTTTACCAAACTCAGGAAATGGTTGCATAAACCCACATAGTCATCAGCCATGCATATTTATCTTAGAAAATCATAACACACAGTAGTTGTAGTCTAATTAATTGTGAGCAGAAAGTGCTGACAATTTGTTTTTATCCCTATTTTTTTTAAGCTGGCATTTTAAATTAATCATAGAGCTGAACTGTTTTTTTGTTTGTTTGTTTGTTTGTTTGTTTTGTTTTGTTTTGTTTTTTGGGTTTTTTTACATTCTTATGGTCCATCTTCATTTGCCCCTTCTGGATGGCCATGACCAGCCAATCTGTCTCTCTCTCTCCCTCCCCCTCCCTCTCTCTCTCTCTGGATTGGATTAAGGGCCCCATCACTTTTTTATTTTGGACATTTTGAAACAGAATCTCACTAATTTTCCCAGACTGGGCTCCAACTTGTGCTCTTCCTGCATTAGTCTCCCCCAGGGCTGGGATTGTGTGCTGGGGTCAGAAGGCCTGGTGTTTGCCCTTCTTTGTTGTTAGCACCCAGTTCCCTCTTTCCGTGTGGTGCTCTGTTCTCTCCCCAGGCTCTGGGCCTGCCCTGCTCTGTGGTTCACATCCAGCAGTAAGTCATGGGGCTAGGTGGGTTTGTATCCTGGAGTGCACTTGGGGCGCCTTCATTGTCCTCCTAAGGCCCTCTGGGAAGGGGGCTCCTCTGTTTGGTTTCTCAGCTAAGCCCTGAGGGACTGAGCCTTGAGGCAGGGCATGCTGACCTGATCTAACTCTAGGAATGTGCCCAAGCCTCTGTCTTTGTTTCCTTACTCAGCCTGCAATCGCTTTCCCCAGGTTCATGTCCTCCAGGCTCTGAGAAGCCTGAAGAAGCTGCTCTAGGATCAGCAAGCTGGCGGCCTGGAGCTGCTGTGTGGATGGACGCTGTGGAGCTCCAGGAAGGCAGGGCAGTGTGAACCCTGTGGGAAGTGTGAGCAGAACCACTGAGGCATGTCCCGGAGTGTGCTGCCCCTACAGAGCAAGGAGCCACCTCCCACGTTTGTGGAGGATCAGGCCTGGAGATGTATTCCTGGCTCCCACCACCTTGCCCTTCCCTTTGGGTAGAATTTCCCTAGTCTTGGGTTGTATTTCCGGCTAAGTTCTGGTCCTATCTAAATCATTCTGGGTGCTCTTTAAATAAAGTCTAATGAAGCCAAAATGAAGAACCTCAGAGGGAAAGCCTGAGCCATGTGGTAGGAGAACTGTGGAAGTCCACTTTCAGCTTTTAGACAGACACCTTCGAAAGTGGATTCTGGGAGCCACGCGAGTAGACAAAGTCCCCCTTCTTTCCTGTAGATCAGTGTCCCGGTCCTGCCCGCTGTCTTCCTGTGGTGGCCCTGGTACTGATGCCCCCATCTGCGCCTTTCACCCTTCTATTCTCCTGCTGGACAGAACCTTCCAGATTTTCGGCCCCTCCTCTCTCCACAGTGACTGTGGTGATGGGCAGCATTTTATACCCAAACCTTGCTGGGCTCCAGGGAGGACCGTCCACAAGGTGAAGTGGAAAGCATGCTTACCAGGATGACACCATGTCCGGGGAAGCAGGATTCTGTCTTCCTGTGAAAGCAGCCCCATATGACTCTCAAGCATGGACCTGTAGGATTTCCCCTAAATGTTTTATGGGTTTTCGGCTTACTTGGATTGGTCAGGACTAATGAGAAATATACTGCATTTAGTTGTATTTGTTCTTTTGAATGATTAAGTTTCCAGGAACATTGAACACTGGAACACCACCTGTCACAGAAAGTAGTGGAGTATATTTCTTCTTTGGCTTCATTCTCTTAAAAGCAGTCTTTTGTGTGCCTATGGGAAAAAACATCATCACTAGGGCAGTTTTCCTCCACTGAGTTACTTGTAAACATGCATGTGGCCAATGATGGGCGACAAAACCTGTGTTACAGAGCCCCAGAAAACAGTGAAAAGCTGGTGATGGTCTTGATGTTGGAGGTAGAGAAGCCTGATATGTTCCTGTGGGCATCTACACTGCCCGCTGGTACATCTATGGGGTTCTCAACCCTCCGGCAGATGGAAGCCTTCAGGGAGAGCATGGCAGGACATGAAATTGTCAAAACTATCTTCAGATTCAGGAGTGAAAGACTTGCCCATCAGTCAGCACCAGTAAGCTGATGCAGAAGGGAGCACATCTAATTCCAACCATGGACTGCAAAGACATGCATGACTTACTGTTCTCGCTGTTTTCTGATTAGTAATATTTTAAGCATGTGGCTCAAAGAGTATTACTAGAGATCAATGAATGTCCCAGCTTGAGTCCCCATCCTTGTGTACCCTGAAAGTCCTTTTCTGTCTATGTGTGTCTGGGTTTGTGTGTTTGCATCTGTGTTTGTGTGTGTGGTGGAAACTATGAGAACTGTGTTGGCCAGTTTAACAGGGTCAAATCTTAAATGATAGGAAGAAAATTGCATTTGCTAGAAGTTTGACAGCCCTCTCTGAAAACTCGAGGGGGTGTTATATAAAGTGCACAATTCCATGCAAAAGGTGCATATTTTCTGGGCCTCAGGGTTTCCCCCTGGATGACTGCTGACCAACCACGCAGGTCAGGCTGGGGACAGCTGTGAGCACGCTTTCCGACAGCATTCCTGAGGTCTCCTTTCCTGGTGGCTGCAGGCAGGCCCGCCTTTCCTCTAACATCTTCCCTTGGTTTTGTTCTGTGACAGCTGCCTGCGGCGGGAACTTGACTGGCCCTTCCGGAGTCATTCTGTCCCCTAACTACCCACAGCCCTACCCTCCAGGCAAGGAGTGTGACTGGAGAGTGAAGGTGAACCCCGACTTCGTCATCGCCTTAATATTCAGAAGGTACGTCCCTCCCCTCCCACTGCAGAGGGCGGGCAAAGCCCACACCTGGAGGTCACTTCCTTTATCACTGACAAATGCCAAGTGCCTGGACTCTGTTTCTGCGCCAGCCCTTAGCCTGGTGGCTCTAAAGGCCCCATGTAGGTGCAAGGTGATTCGGAAGATGTCTTCTGTGTTTGGGGGACTTCTTGTAAAATACACACGAAATAATTCTAAACGCGTCTGATCTGCCACACAGAAAGCATCATTTATAAAATATTCAAAACTAAAATAAGCATGATACAGATTTGCTTGGAATAATTTCTTATCACTGCCTTCTGTTTTCCTAGACATGTGTGAGAAAATTCACCCACTTGCCATATTGTCTGACATTCCCAGGGGTAGAACCCTTACTATCCTTGGGTTTTTAGGGCTCAGTGGGCTTTGAAAATGAAATTTCCCCAACCTTTGGTTGTAAGGTTTGAATTATCAGATGTGTCTTAGAAACATGCTAACTCATTCCTGCTAAACTAGATGGTAAAAGATCAATACCAGGGTTATTTTATAAAATAGCTTCATAATACATTGTCATATTCATGGACAGTATGAAGTAATTAAATTTTTATTGCACCTGAAGCTCTTTTCCAGTGTTAACATGCCGAGTACTTTGGGTTTTGGTCTAAGTGGGTATTCTGTGGTTAGAAGGATGTGGCCCAGTGAGCACTGCTTGGCTGTGCTGGTTGGTGTGGTGGGTTTCCTTCCTTGTAACCAGCAGGCAGCTCTAGTACCAGTCGATTAAAAGAGAAGTCACAATCAAAGGTCTGCTGGTGGCCACAGAAATTTAAGAGTAAGAATTTCACAACTTCCCACATTATAGGACTTACAAATGTTCCTAGAGTGCAGCTTAGCTGATATGTAAGGCAATTTCATGCCAGAATTTTTAATCATTTCATGCACCTCTCAGTTCTCTCCTTCCTGAGAGAGTCCTTACACAATTAGCTCAAGAAGTCAGAGCCCAGACCTGTCCTCTGACCCAGATCATTTCTGTATGCTCAGTGGGAACTTAACAGCTCAGTCTACGTTGTAGTGTTTGGGACAGCCCAAACCCTAGGCAGGAACCAGTCTGTTCCAGGAGACAGATAGGAGGCTGCTGAAGGTGCCCAGCATGTGAACATCAGAAAGCACGGTCTGCAGGGATAAATGACAAAGTGTCCCTTCAACAGGATGCACAGAGAATTGGAGTCCTCTAGGGAACCTCCCCAGTCCAGATTCAGGGAGCTTCTGCAGGGTGCATGAGAGCCTGGTGCTACTGACAGTGGAGGAGAGAATTCTGGATCTGAAGGATGGGGCTTCAAGGATCATGCTGGAGCCTGGCATCCAGGGAGGGAGGGAACCTCTACCACTGCTCCTGTAGACTGGGGTGATACTCACCAGGCTCAAATTAAGTTCGCTGCACAGGGTTGCTCAGTCTTGGCGCAGACATGAGGGCTTATGGACATGTGCGGCTCTCATAGGTACAAATAAAACAGGTCTTAACATGGGGAGCCATAGCTAACTGTAAATCTATCTTCAGACTTCCAGGGAAGCACTCTGTTATATTTTTAAAAAGAGATTATATGGGAATTTTTTCTATGTCTGATAGAATTTTCAGCGTTCAATATCTAATCTATAATAATAGCATAGTATGTCAATTTTGGGGGTGGAGCAGTACATGATTCTCGTAACATCTTTGCAACATATGCTAAGTAAAACTACCAACCCCATAGAATTCTGTTAGTCCACTTCTTATTTGCCCCTACACTTGGTCACTCCATAGCTACTTCATCCACTCTAACTTTGGGGCAGAAGACCTTCTGCCCTCCACCTAGCTGGACTTTCCAGACAAACCAGAGCCACTTGGGCAACACATTTCCCCTGATTAAAAAATCATGTTGGTCCTCTTGGTCAGCTACAGCACAAATTCCACCCAGCAGAAAGCAAGGAGCTTGCAGTGGCTGGAAAGAGTGCTTGTTCCAGGCACAGAAAGCCTCAGACAACCCCTAAGAATACACAGGAATACCAAGGATACACTTTTTAAAACTAAAATATTCACATAAAAATAATATATCAGTGGAAATTTATTCCTTTGGACCTTGGTTCTTTCAAATTATACCTGATTATCAAGTTCACGTATGCAGAGAAATATCCCCATGTTACTATGATTCATTTTCTTTTAGCTGTCTTCCAAATTGTACTAGATTGAGTGCCGTGGTCAAAATGCTAAGAGCATTTGTTATAACTTACATGCAATATTATATTTAACTTTTTGATTGCCTTAATTATTGAAGGTATTACACAAAAGTAAATAAACTCACTCTGTGTTTTCAAAGCTGAATCCCCCAGAAGATCTGGTGACGCTGCCATTCACTCTTAACCCCGATGTTCTTTGTCCTCAGCTTCAACATGGAACCCAGCTATGACTTCCTGCACATCTACGAGGGCGAGGACTCCAACAGCCCGCTGGTCGGGAGCTTCCAGGGCTCCCAAGCCCCGGACAGAATCGAGAGCAGCGGGAACAGCCTTTTCTTGGCCTTCCGGAGTGACGCCTCCGTGGGCTTGTCAGGGTTTGCCATTGAGTTTAAAGGTACTGTGCCACACGGTGTCCTGCGGAGGGTGCTGTAGTCAGGACTATCCAGACCTGAGGTGTCTGTGTGAGATCTGGCATCACTGTCTAACACGGACATGTGCCTTGCTGTGGCTGTCTGGGTGAGAGGGTCATCCCCATCCCAGAGAGAGGAGAGGCCAAAGACTCACGTCTATCTTAGCTGAAAGAAGAGAAGATGGAGATTCTTGCCAATTCATAGCCATTTCCAAATAAATTGTGCTTTGCATAAACAGTAAGTCGATGGCATTTGAGAATTATTTTAAGATAAATTAAATGTCCTCTGAGTAGTTTCTTCAGGATGACTAAATTTGCATCTTCTCCATAGCTGAGTTAGACTGGTCAGGTTTGTCCTGGAATCCCTTCTGCCCATGACCTGTCCCCACCTGTGGACATGGCTTTGTGTGAGCACTGGCTCAGGTTCAGATTCCTGGGGGACCTGCACTTGGTTTAGAGTCTATCACGCCCTACCATTAATATGCAAGTAAAACACTCAATCCCAATGCAAAAGCTTCCCTAAAAGTCTGTCTGTATGTATGTATGTCTGTCTTTTTTTGTGTTCATAAAACAAAATTTTTTTTCAAATTTGTTTCTCCTGTGAATAATAATGTAATATAAAAAGGGAAGAGGATCTAACAAAATACCAACTCACAGTAATGATTTTTTAATTTAAAAAAGCAAAATAGAAAAAGGAAAGAAACAATACAGAATTTAAAAAAAGAAAAAAAGTAGGGAATTAACACTAGTTATTATATTGTATATTGTTCTCAGAATTAGTTGTTTAGTTTTCAAAATGTAGACACAAAAGTGATTATGTGTTATCAAAAAATTTGATGAAAATTTATTTAAACTTGAGCTCAACTTGTAAAGAAAATTGTAGATGGAAATGGATGATACGTTCATCTCTTTCACCTCTGTGATGGATTTGCATTGATCTCTATGGTTTCAAGTAAATAATTTCCTCTAAAACCTCAAAACCTATATAATTTAGGGTCTTTACTAAAATCTACAATAAAGACATCACAAAGCTCCTCCCCTGGGAAGGTCCAGTGCTTTCTGGGTGGAAGGAGTGTGCCCATGAGTGTGAGAAGCTGCAGGAAGCGTGAACCTTGTCGTCAGATTGCTTTTGCATTAATGGGAAATCACTGAAACACACCTCGCCAGGCTTATTCTGCCAAAGCTAAAAGCAAAATAAAGCAAAATCCAGCTGACAAACAGCAAAAGAGCCTCCATCTCAGGGTGGGGAGAATCTTGGTCTCCATGCTTCGAGCTCCTCATCCTTCCTAACTATGCTCATGTGAGCCGTTCTGGAGAGAAGAGTGATGGGTGTACGAGACCCCCAATAGGGGCCGGGACTCACTGCCTTGTCTTCGGTCTGGTTCTTTGGTGACAGTAGAGCCATGTAAAGAGAGGTGGCAGCTCTTAATATTCAAGTCCCCCACGGAGTCTGTGGGAAAATCCCTGGGAAAGAACAGCTCCTGTGCCCTGTGCCAGCAGGGAGACAATGTCCCTGCAGTCAGTGCTGTGAACTCCAAGCCAGCTGCCAGGCAGGACAGGAGCAGTAAGACCCGAGGGCGGTCACATTGCATGGCTCCAGGATGACCCAGTGTGCTCCATCTCTTTGGCCTCCAGTTCAGGAGGAGACAGAGGTATCTGTAGTGGGGAAGACAGGAATGGCAAGGAAATATGCCCTGTTATAAAGCCATCTAATCATGGAACACAGATTGTGAGCCAAAAAGGACCAGTGGTTTATCACCAAACATCTTGAATTGGCAACTCAGTAAATGGAACCGAAACATGAGATGCAGGTCACCAGAAGAACATCTTGCTGTCAGGACTCCACATTAGTGGTGTGAGCCAGAAGTTCCACCGAATGGCAAATCCCAATGAAAGCAAGTTATAAGAAAAGCAATCAAAGTGAACAAGGTCACAGGTCTACACTGATAGAAATATGCTGAAGAGGTTCCAAGTTAGCTACAGGGAGAACATCACAAACGGCATTGCTGCCAGGGGTCACAGGGTGTTCACGTGGTGCTGGAAGGCTGGATGAACAGCTTTAACAGTTCTCAGTTTTATGTGGCTGCTCCTTATTTGCCTAAAATAAATGTTTTGTGTCCTCTGTGGGAATTAAGGCTGCTTAAAAATTATGAAAACATTACAACCTGAATATCCAAATAGATTTTCATTCAAGGTCTTAGACCCGATCTCTGTACACCGCTGTCCTGCCAAGGCCACCAGGAGCAAAGTGAGGCAAAAGGAAGGTTTCCACAATTGTGTCTGTATAACTGACCAAAACATGGACACAGTCATATTTCAATAAGTATAATACATGACCATAATGGATGCAATCCATATCTGTTATGCTTAGATATAAGACTTCTTTTAATAGGTGATAGAATGGTTGCCAGGGGGAGCTCTGACTGGCTGATGTTGATACACAGATTGTTGAAAACTGCTGAGAATATTGAACAGGCAAAGTCCCAGGCCTCTCCTCCTCCTGCAGCATATGATAGTTTTAGTTATTTTCTCCGCTGCATTGTCATTCCTATACCATGGTGCTCTGGGGGGCCTCCAAAGATATTGTGCCCACATTCTCTCCTGGATGTCCACTGGGGTCTCCAAGATGGTCCTCCATCTGAGACCAGTTAAGGAAGTGAGGGCTTAAGTGGTGGGCAGTAGGAAATGCTCCACAGGAGGAATAAAACAGATTTAAGTGGTACTGACCCTAGCTCTCCAGATAACAGCCCCATCTTCTGCATGATGTTTGCATGTACCTATTATAATTTTCTGTGAAGAATAAGAGCACTCAGAAATTTTTATCAGGGGATACATTTGTCAAACAAAAAGGAAAAGAGCTAAAATGTTTGTTTCTATCCATTTTAAGGTTATCCTTGTGCCTAACTTGGTATCAGCATCACTGTTGTCATATACAATGCTAAACTGGTTTTCATAACTGTATACTCATTTAGTGACATTTTAGATGGTCTGCTAAAATGGAAAATTGAAAATATTAAGCCTTATAGAAGATAACTAGCCCTGGCCATGTAATAACAACACTGTGGGGAAAGAGACTGTTTTGCATTTGGACAGGGATAGTTCTCAGGTGAGCTGGAGTTGAGCTTCTCCTTTGATGGCCCCAGAGTCTTGCTGGGCTCCCCAGTGTGTACTTGTAAAATGGGTCCAGCTCCACAGCTCCAGACCCAATGCCCCTCAGGTTGCTGAGGAGGAGAGACATGTGGGGCACTGCCCTCACCCAGCTCAGCCCGCACAGGGCCCCTGAGCCTCTCATCTGTTTCCACAGAACCTGAAAGTCCTTGAGCCACTGTGGCGTCCCACATCCCACTGCAATGCAGTCACTGAGCACACATTGTGCTGAGTGCAGGTCTCTGGCATGCTGGCAAGCAGCTCAGAGGGAATGCAGGGCTTATGCTTAGATGAGAAGATGCTGTTCATCTGCACAAGTTAAGTCATTCTCCCTGGGGAACCAGATCCTCCCCTCTCTTCCTGAAGGCTGGAGGTTATCTACAGTGGTACTGAGACAGGGAAATATGTGTCTCTCCCAACCTGCCAGATGTCAGATGCACTGCTTGTGTTCCCCAGAATCAGGAATGAATTCTCAGGGACCACAGAGGTTGAGAGTAGGAAAATGTTATGGAGAGATAGTGAGATCGCCGCTGGGAGACAGGAGGCCACTTGTCCAAGGTTTATAGAGCAAAGTCACAAGGTGGGTACAACGGGGGACAAAACTGTAATCAGGCAGTACAGTTACAAGTTTGGCTGAGTAGGTAAGGTCAATCCGATGAGGAACCAGGTCATGGAGCTGGTGTGTGGGGAGGAACAAAGCTTCTGAGGAAGGGGTGAGCCAGGCCGTTCCGCCCTCCCACTTTGACTGACCAGGCTTTATTGAACCATGTGATATTCACTATGACCTGTCACTTATGCTTTGGAGGCGCAGGCCTGGTCACTCACCTTTGTCTGGAGGCCAGGCCTGCAGTGTGTTCTCATGTTCTGCACCAACTCCTCTATAGCTTTCTCTTGTCTGACTGACTAGAACATTTCTCCTTGGCTCAACTGTCTATAAAAGGTCAGAAAATGAACTTGCATTTTTCTTCAAGTAGTTCATGGGCTTGAGTCCTTTAATCCATGGTCAAAACAAGGATGAGTGGATAAAACATAATATAAAATCATTTATGTTGGGTGGAAAGTCATTCGATATTGATTCTTCAGTAAAGTGTCATTTTAAAAGACTGTGATTATTAAAGGGAATTTTCCCACTTTTATTTAGTCAATAGGTTAACTTAGTCATGAACCAATTAAATCTTTTTGTGCATTTTTCCTATGTGCTAGGCCCTAAAAAATAATCTGACCCAAAGCAAAACCAAAGAACAGCATTTTCATGGCCTTCTCATTTGTTCCTCACCAGAGAAGCCCCGGGAAGCCTGCTTCGACCCTGGGAACATAATGAACGGAACCCGAGTTGGCACCGATTTCAAACTGGGCTCTACCGTCACCTATCAGTGTGACTCTGGCTACAGGATCGTGGAGCCCTCATCCATCACCTGTGTGATCGGAACTGATGGGAAGCCCTCCTGGGATCATGTCCTGCCCTCCTGCAGAGGTGAGTCCTACCCAACTGTGTGGCACAGCTCCCTGGGAGGGCTCCATGCACTGGCGCAGCAGGAGGGGAAGTGTGGCTCATGGGCTGCAGTGACAGCTGGTGTCCAGCTGCTCAGGAACCTTGGCCAGCTCTGGGATCTGCTCATGGTCTCTGGCTGGACACTTCTTCCTTTCATCAAGGTGTTTGACACTTTTCACTTCTGTTTTATGTATTAAGACCTGAGCTACATGACAGGTAGCCATTAGCGTTTTCTAACTGCTTCTCTCTAAAGAAATCGATCAATAGATAGATTGATAATGAAATATCAGTAGATGTATAAGAGAGAGGATAAAGGAAAGAAAGAGAGGAAGATTTTAAGATACACATGTGCACATGGATGTGTCATGTTCACCTGAAGGATGTTTGTAAAACTGTAAAACAAGATAAAATGAGCCTTTAAGAACAAAGCAAATCTCAGCTCTCTGAGGACAGTGATCAGGCAGCATCTGCCCTTGCAGTGACCTTCAGGGTAGCCAGGGCACGTCTCAGTGTTGGCCTGGCTGCTGATTCCTGTATGGCCTCCAGGATTTCCAATGGGCCTGCCATGGCCCCTCGGAGCTGAGACCCAGAGGCTCCAGAAAGGCACCCAGGAAGCAGGCCTGGGGTTGGCTTGGAGTTAGAGCCTCCAGCCACTTTGTGTGTGCAAGGCCCTGGGGTACAACCCAAAATAAATTCATAAAGCAACTCATTCCTGCAAGGCGGAAACCCATGATGGGTCCCAGCAACACTGGTTTGCTGCAGTATTTTAGGATCCACTTAAGGACCAGTTCAGCCTAATAAACTGACTTTAGGAAAGGAATGTGTTTTCTGCACCTGTCTAACAATTCTGAGGATCAAATGGGTGTTTAAAAAGGAACACATCAAAAATCAAAACACACACACAAATACACACACACGGGGCCTCTTACACTGGCACCTTCTGCTACTCCTGTGCTGAACTCGCCAATCCGTGACTCCCAGACTTGAGGGTCAACCCCCTTTCTGCCAGGACCAACACATCAAGCATGTGGAAGGAGAGCTGAGCGTGGGTTTCTAAGTCATAAACTGATGACTGAGTGGATAAAACAGGTCTTGCTGGAAAAGCCTCCCTGCAAACCTTCCAGCTCTCACTGTCATAGTAAACATGGCTCCCCTACTTCTTTTCACATGGCAGAAGACAGGTGCACTAGGGACAGGTGAGTGTGGCCAGCTGCCCAGCACTCAGCATCCTGAGTTCCTCCACTGCCCCTTCCTGTGTCCCAGAAGGGGACGGCACACCCTGCCATGTCCCCAAGCTTCTGCATGGGTGGTGGGTATGATGTAAGAAGACCAGGGTAGTGGAGATGTGACAGAAGTCATGGATCCTTGGCCTCTATTTATGAGGAGTAGAAGTCCATGCCTGGCAGTGCCTTGGGGGTGCCTGTGAAGGCTTCCACGTCTGTGTCAAATATTTTTGTGGTTCAAATAGTCGTGCACATTTCGATGGTCATCGGTTTGCAGGACTACCACAGGCCACCGTGGCCCAGGGCGATTCACACATGGGAGGGTGTTCTGTGGTGGTGGTGAGTGTGCCTGTGGCCTGCAGCCTTGTCCCCTGAGTTTGCCATGGGGCTGGAGCTGAATCACAGTGCCCAGAGCCCATTCCTCACATTCCAGTGCACTGCAGTGCGGCTCCTTCTCAGCTCCCTCGAACAGGCAAGATGGGGTTCCAGGTAGAAAGCGGATGAGTCGGTCTCCTCCGACAGGCTGTGGTGATTCCTTTGGCCCATCTTTCTCCATTTGGAAAACGGTTTAATAGGCTGGTATCAGAGAATAAATTAGCATACATTTCTTTTTCTTCTGTCGTTCCATTAGTATGAATTAACTTTTAACAGTCAAAGGATCATGCCTACTTCTTAGTTTAACACAAGAACATAGGCAGAATAATTAATAATTATTAAGGGAAAATTCTCCACGTATGCTTATCAATTTCAAAAGCATTTGGTTGAGTCTGGGATCTATTTGGTGGCTTTGGAAGTTAGCCTAGAAGTCCGAGAAGAAAGTTCTGGTCACCAAGGCAAATAAAGACCAAGAAGCTGGATTTCCTTCCTTTCATTTAAGCATTTTTAGCGTTCTATTGTCATGGGCAGCTGTCTTTTTGTCTACCCTCCGACAAATCATCTTGGCAATTATATCTTAAATGTATCTGAAATGGTCCCTGAGTGTAGCAAGTCTCCCTCTCATCATAATTTGCACATGAAAATGTTGGCCCACTGAGGACCCCCCCCCCACACTTTTGTTTAAACTTTAGTGTCACATTCAAAGTAATGAATTGTTTAGGTGGAAAAGAGGTATTTGCAAAAAGATCTGCTTGAATTTTATAGGACCAGGGAGAAATAAAATGAATTTTCATTCTTTGTACAGACTTTTAGAACTCTGGCCTTAGAGCTGTGAGGGGAAATAAAGGACCCTTATGAAATAAGCAGGGGAACTGACAACGGCAGAGGCGGTGGGCTGAGGCATTGCTTCCCGGGCTGAGTTCCCCGGAGCTCGCTCAACTCTGCCAGCCCTGGATATGAGTTTGCAGAAGTGTCGGCTGCCCAAAAATGAAAATCACGGTTTTCCAGGACACATGTGAACATATCAGCATGGGTGTTTTGCAGTGGTGCAGTTATTCCGAGTTGAACATGACACAGAGCCTAGCTAAGCTCCTGCACGCCCTCTTGTGAGCTGCTCACAAACAGCCCCGCAGCTGGCCAATGGCTTCGCTGTTGTCCTTGACTCCAAAATGACTTCAGTTTTCCAAGCCATTGTGTGCAGAGGTTCGGGAAAGCAGCGGACAGGTCATCAACTCTCTTGATAAATCCTTAATGGGATCCCTTCACATTAGCATCATGGTATTTTAAGGAGTTCCATTAATCTGGGACATGGTTCTACCCATCAGTTAGGATTTAACAGTGTGCTAATTAACATTCAGGGGATTACACGTGCTATCTCTAATTGGTATTTTTTAGCACTTGAAAATTGCCATATTGAGAATAAATGAGCTAGAGAAATAGGAATTTTCTCAGGTACTGAAAACAACCCCAAATTCTAATCAGGGGAGGTGCACCTGTGAAACCAGTTAATCAGGGGCGCAAGACAAGCCCAACCCGAGCTGACCCAATGGAAGGCGCGGTCCTCCACCACGTCACGCATGCGCGAGGAGTGCTGGCGGCCTAGTGAAAGCCTGAGCAGAAGTCACTGGGACTCGGTCGGAAGTCTGTTTCTCCATGCAGAAGGAGTGTTTTGAGCGTGCATAGAGATTTTTCCTGTCTCCTGCTTTTCTCAGCAAAAATCATGCCAGGGTAAAGGAGAAAATGGGGGCGATCAAGACCCAGATGTGCTCTGGCACACACACACACACCCTCTGCTGCGCCCTCACGTTTGCCTGTCCATCCATCCTTCCATCCGCTGGATTTACCAAGGTGGTCCCACAGATATCACTACTTCTGCGCTTCTGGTGCTGCTCCGTAACTGAGTTTGTGCAATGCAGAGTTGGAAACTGAAAAGCAAACCAGTACTTTGTATCCTTTCCGCCTAGTGTTAGCCTCGTGGAAACAGCAGTGGTCTTTGTGTTTTTTCCATTAGTGTGATGATTGATACAAACTAGACAATGACAGGGGCCTTCAAAATAACAGATTTGTCTTCTTAGAACCTAATTTCATGATGATGATAGCCGTCTCCCTGATTCTATTGACATGTCAGAAGTAGGCCTTCAGATGTTTCTCTCTAAAATGAACAGATTTTATTTAATGTGGTTGGTCTTTGGTTTTCCTTTCTGTTACTTTCGATAACAGCACAGAACAAGATTTTCACTTTGTTATTTTGGTTAAGTTTTGATACAAGCTATGCACCCCCAGCCTCAGCCGCGGCTTACTATTCCTGGCTGGTTTTGTTTGCAGCTCCGTGTGGAGGCCAGTATTCGGGATCCGAAGGCGTGGTCCTGTCACCCAACTACCCCCACAACTACACCGCGGGCCAGGTGTGCCTCTACACAATCACCGTGCCGAAGGAGTTCGGTAAGTGCCACAGATCTTAGTAAATAAAAGCAATATCAAATCAATGGCATGAAGGGGGAAGGTTTCCACACCTTTCCCATAGTGTCCACTACCATCCTCCCACCAGTGCAATATATCATGTTTGTCTTCCTTTCCAGGAGTCTGACCCAGACCATCACAAAACATTGATGTGGCTCGATTTGATTTTCTTTCTGGAGAAATTGTTTTGAATGGATGTTTCTATATATGAGGGATGATTACAGAGTAACTTGGGCTTCAGGGGTGGGATGCAGTGACACATACCTGTTATCCTTGCTGCCTTGGAGGCAGAGACAGGAGGATATTAAGTTGCAGCTCAGCTGACTTGGCAAGACCTTGTGTAAAGTAGAAATAATGAATGGGGCTCAGGATGTAGCTCGGAGGTGGAGCGGTTGCTTAGCGTGCTCTAGCTCTGCATTCCATCCTTGTCCTGCAAAACCAGACAGACAGAACTACACAGCAGGGGTGAGGAGCACAGGATTTCTCTCTTTGCACAGCTGGCAGGCAGATGCAGAAGGTAGGTTAGGCTGGAAACCACTGGGCACTTAGCTCCTTCCACATCTGCAGGCTGTGAATGTGGAGCATCATGGCGGCTTTCCTGAGCAACTGTCCAGACTGATCCTGTTCCCAGGGCTTTAGCACTCCAGTTTGTAAGCAGGGCCCACTCTTGCCCAGGAGGGCCTGTTTCCTGTGGGTCCATCCTAGAGGAACCAGATCATTGCTTTTACAGTCTCAGGGGCTATTTCTCTTTTATCCAATGGTGAAGCGAAAACCCTGCCTAGCCCAGAGTTTTGTTTATATTAAGTCAACAATTGCCCACCTAGAAATAAAGCAGATAAAAGTCTAAGGCTGGCATGTATTGGAGGTAAAACATTTAAAAATCACACAGTCATGGCTGGGGAAGGAACTTGGGAGGAGAAGCCCGATCACACAGCTCCCTTCTGCTCTGCAGTCTTGCCTGGCCTCTCCAGTGCAAGATGGATCACAGGAGAAGCCCTCCAAAGGCAAGAAAGGGTCCGCTTCCCTGTGCGCAGGCCAGGGTGAGCCTGACTGCTGATAAGCGGAGCCCTGGCTCCCGGGCTCTTTTCCTATGATAAACAAGTGACAGCATTGGGCTGGTTCTGTGTCCTGCTGTGCCTGTTCAGGTGCTCCGACTCAGCTGAGGCCCCCATTCTGTGTAAGGGAATACATTGCTTAGCTAAGCATTCAACTTGTATCCAATTACTGTGACACAAATATTCCTTTTACATTTTGTTAATTCAGGACAACATATTTAGCAGCCTTATTCAAGCTTATTAGCTTATTATTATTCTAAGCGTATTATACAGCACTGTATTCCATGATTATCGTGTATTGTAAAGTTCTGTTTTATATGGCAATGAAGCTATGATTTTAAGCAGGAGAAGCTCCACTCGCATTCTAAATATTGATTATAATTTCTTAATCAGCCCCAGTCTGAAGGGTTTAGTGGAACAGTATTGTACTCTGGCTAAAAGATCTGACTTGGATGCTGAGAGCTCTGCAGAGCACCCAAGTCAACCCTCAGTGCCACCTTCACTGTCCTCCTTTTTTCTTCCTTCCTGGGGACAGTTGACTAAGAGAGCAGTTAGGTCACCAATGGAGATAAGTGCCAGTGACACAGAGATGGTGAGAAATGGCCATGCCCTGACATGCTCGTGGCTTGCTCTGACTGCTGTGCACGCTGTACTGGGGGCCTGACCATGCTGAGGCAGGAAGTTTGCTTGCTGTGGTCAGCAGCAGCTTGAGAATGGGACGTAATGTCTAAGATAGGATATCAGAGACCTTGACTTTCTGTTTTCGTCCAAAGATAGTGCACAAGTTTCATTTATAAAGCAAGAATCACACCACATCAATATCTCGGTGAATATTGGCTCACGTGTGTGAAGTGCTGGGCAAGGGGTGTGTGTCTAGGTTTGTACTTCAAGGTCCCAGAAGGGCCATTGTCCTCAGAACACAAGTCCTGGTTAGGCTCTGGGCCACCAGTGTCATTTCCAGAGCTTTTTACTTTATATTCCACTTGCCATAAAAGTTTTCTTATATAACATTCTCACACGCACATACATGCACACACGCAGACACACACAAGGGACTGAACGACCACTTGTTGGGTGGGAGCTATAATGCAGGTAACCCCTCCCTTGGCTCCAGTCCCAGCCTCACACTTCCAGCCACAGTGTTAGCGCCCTCATGCACGGCTGTCTCCAGTGTGCTGCTTGCTGGTGATTTTGAACTCAAGTCGGGGGAGCAGGGGACGGGCTTGGATCTCTGGGGCGAGCTAGGCCTCTGGTGTCTACTGACTTCCTGTGCTCTGCCTCCTCATCTGGTGTGAAGACAGGGCACAGGTGAGAGCGTGGCCACCTTGGGGCACCTCAATGACATCTTCATCCTCCTTAGCCTCCAGAGCCACGTGGTGAATTTCTTGGGGGAAAGCAGGGTGTATGTGTAGTTGACTCATTTTTGTATAACATAAAGGACTCAAGCATTCAGCCCACAGCATGATGAAAATTTAACTGATTTGGGAGGTGGTGGCTGAGCAGGGATTTGCAGAGTTCTTTGTCACTTTAGCCTCCAAAGCACAAGGCTTTCAGCATGCATTACCCACTGGGATCTGCCCTCCTTAGCGGCCTCCTTTGCTTGTTCCTCAAGGAACTATTGAAGTCTCAGGGTAAAGGCTGTTTTACCTATGTTTTTAGATGTTTATTACTATATGCAGCACTCATGGATATGCACACAAGCACAGTGTTGCAGTTAGAGTGCTCCAGTTGTGTTTCCACGTTAATTTTTCCCCTGACACACACAGTTAACACACACAGAGCACATTGTTCATATTGGTTTAGGGTGACGATTGTGCAAAGCTTACACAAAAATAACCAAAGGAGAGGCTACTTGGTGCATGTAGATAGATGCTGGGTCACAGGTTTTCTAAATGCTGTAAAACCGGGCTTGTCACCAACTTCAGTACAGAAATTATGTTTGGACCATGAATTATATACATGTTTTGCTTGCAGGAGATGTGAATGTACAACCTTATGTACCTGTGAAATAAATGAAGTTGTACAGTGGACTCAAAATGCACAGTTCCTACAGTGTCTTGCTGAATCAAGCATAGGACTGAATTATATGAATTGGTAGTGGAGTAACAGGAATTAGATATTAGTAACTTTGCATGGTGAGTTCTAAATTCCTCACCAAATTTTCATGGTGCTTGACACCTCTGTTTCACCAGATAAAATGTCCCAAATTATTCAAAAATAAATAGGCTGTATTAGAGATGCTTTTGGATGATTGTGTGGTATGAGCCATTGAAATACCCCTTTTGCTAATGTGAAAGTCTTTCAGGAAACTGTAGTGTGCTCCCATTTGTGAATCACCAGAAGAGCAAGAAACAAAGCAAAGTTGTTTAAATGCGGAAAACTTGGAAGACAGAATTGGCTCAGTTTCCCATGGTCTTAGGGTAACGACACCGTGGGGGAGGGAAACTTCCCCTTAATCCTGTAAGCATGGTTGCCCGCTGCCCTTGTCTTCCAGTGGTGTTCGGACAGTTCGCCTCCTTCCAGACGGCACTCAGCGACATGGCAGAGTTGTTTGATGGAGCCCAGCCCCAGGCCAGACTGCTCAGCTCCCTCTCCGGGTCCCACTCAGGTAAACTTTCAAGCGATTTTTGCCCTTAATTCCATTACACAGTGATGGAGACTGATGATAAACTTGTCTATTTCTTTCCTTCTTTGATGAATGAGAAATTTAATCATCATTGACTTTGCAGGTGTTTTGGAAAGGTTTCCTATTAGATATTAGATTTTCAAAGTGTTTTCATCCCCTGTATATCCCTTTAAAATTTTATTTATTAAGATTATGGAAAATATAATATTCATCTTAAGAAAAGAACTAAATACCAGGAGAAGGGATGTCTCTTGTGTTTTATTTTCTATTCTTTGTGATTTAACCTTCCCCTTACAGATAAAAATGTCTAACATTTTGTCTAAATCATTCCAAACCCATAAAGACACATGTGTAGAAAGTGTCCTCAGATGTGGTACCCATGGGGCGTCCTAAGCTAGCCCCAGGTACAAGGGGCTGCCCAAGTTCCGTCCCACTACTGCAACAGCATGTCTTAGCCTTTTTCTTTGTGGATGACCAGCTGATTTGTTTATGCTAAATAAATCTGCTCAGGAGATATGCTCTGTAAAGTGAATTATGTACATCACACATTTTGACAAACCGATGTTAAGATTTTCTGATGTTTTGCTCTTTTCTGAAAGTCTTAAGACCTGTGTTTTGTTCCTGCTTGTCAAAGATGTGTGGTCAGGATCTTGTTTTATGTGTGTGAACTTTTAAGTTAGTATTTATTTTCCAGAAAGCTAAGCTTCCTCGTGGCGCTTTGCTTTTCTGGACCCTCCTCTTATCTCTGTTTTTGTTTGAAGGTGAGACGTTGCCGTTAGCCACATCAAACCAAATTCTTCTTCGATTCAGTGCGAATAGTGGTGCATCAGCCAGAGGCTTCCACTTCCTGTATCAAGGTAAAGGCCTCAGGGTCAGCTCTCCCTGCCAGGCCACAGTTTTCAGACAAATTGCCGCAGTGTCTGGGCTGCATCCTGGGGATAGCGAAGAAACTGAAGATACCTATGTACTGATCATAAAGCTATTTAATGCAAATACTACTTTGCCTCTCCATACCTGCATTTGTGTCGGACCAGAAGGACACCTATCTCCCCAGCACCGCCACAGCTAGGGCATTAATGACCCTGTGCTCACCTGCGTGTCCTGGCCCGGGCTTTGATGCCCAGCACTGCTTAGCTCTTCATATCTTGCCAAATGACTGAAGATACAATGTTTCTTTAATTAAAAAAGCAATTTTATAATGGTGAGATCTTGTCACAGCTTTAATCCAATGCATTTAAAACACACAATATATAATTCTGCATTTTATTGTAAAAGAGAACTTTAAATACAGTTTAACAAAACCAAAGCAAAACACAAAACGTCAGTCAAAGACCTCACAGTAATTGATTTCCTGTTTCATAGTGCTTGTCAATTACTCATATTTAGCACTTCTTAACTTTCAAATTATTTTTAAATTTAGAGCTTATTTGGAGTGGCTTAAAATTCTGAGAAGCAGAGCATTGTTTTCCCTACTGCATTTCCCCTTCACTCTGCATATTTATTTATATAAACTTGAAAAAGCAGCGCACAGGTGGTGCAGGCCCTTTCAGAAGCAGAGAGACAGGGTGTGAATGGAATTGCTAATGACCCACAGATCAGATGAAATCCAAGAGAGGTTATGTCTCCTGAGAAAAACTGGGTGCTCAAAGATAAGAACCAATGCTTAGGTATTTCAGCCTCCATTGTGCTCCAAGAACGTGCAATGGCTGCTTAATAAAAATGTCTCTGTGAAACATTCTTTATAATGTTTCTCAAAAGTACGTAGAATAGTCATGCCATCTCATAGAGAAACCCTTCCTGATAACCTCACGATATAAAGCCATGTTCTCAAGTCCTCCATCGTCAGCATAAGATTACTTAAAGATTAGTGCAGAGTGGGAGAGATGCTTGACAGACCTGTAAGAGGCCAGAAGGTTTCTCATCCCACTTATCTATCAGTTGACAGAAAGCCCATGCAGCTGAGTTAAAGCATCTGTGTCACTGTAGGCATTAACATTTACTAAAATGTAAAAAATTAACCAGTATTAAAACCACCCATGATCAGCTAACGGCCAGTTTAAGCAGGTTGCCTCTACCACTGCTAATTTCTGTGACTGCTAAATTACTTTGCAAAAACAGATTCACAAACTGTGCTGTAGATAAAGAAATTAGACTGATTGATTTAAATACCTTCTGCCTAGAAATGTGCAAGTTGCTGGAGTCACCCTGCTGTCGCAGGCTGGGCTTCCCCTGATTTTTTAGGAAGAATAGGACATTATTATATAATCTAAGAAGCCCAACGCCTATTTACCTGTATTGTTACTCTCAGGAAAGATGCTTCCAAATTTAAAAGCATCACATTATCATGAAAATGTGAAAGGTGTGGAACAAAAAATAAAACAAAATGCAACCTGCTCGCCTTGTCCTTAAGAATATACAATGAACCTAACATCTTCTATGTTTATAAAGTCCCAGTTTACCTCTGTTTCTTGCTCTCTCTTAGGAAGGCTGTGTGAAAATCAGTGTCATCTTTCTAAATCTATATGTAGATGAAAGAGCAACCCAAAAGCAGTTTTTACACTGCATAGCAGCAACAGGGAAAGCTTTCAGTCCACTGGAAAAGTTACATTGAACAATGTTCCTGAACAATGAGAGTTATGTGGAAGCCCGGGAACTTCTGAACGTTATCATTTACCATTTTGCTGAATAGTGCTTTCCTACATCCTACATTCTTTCATAAGTGATTAAAGCTTCAAGTTGCAGCAAGTTTATGATTTCATGGTTGTAGGATGCTAATCCTGGGACAGACACACAGATGGTTCCACTGTCTGGACATGCAAGAGAGGAGGGTGATACACACCACAGCCAGGTCAAAAGGCAAACCATGTGACTCTCTGTGAGAGAGTCATTACCCATAGCTCTGCTCCCTGCCTGTCACACACTCTGGGTGATGAGGTGGAGATGTGAATGATGATGCCGTAGTCTTTCAAACCTGTGAGGAAATGTGGGGGTTCTGCAAGGAGCCTCGAAGGGACCTAAGTATTTTCTGAGTTTTGTTCGTTTTCCACCATCTTTGAGAGGCAGAGGCTATGTTTGCAAAGGGAGGGGAGAGGTCACAGTAGAACACATGGTACTCAAAGAGCTGGACCTGTGTCCTGGCTGTTTACGTGACTCATCTGGGATGTCAGGGCCTGGGTAGAGTCTATCTGGAAGTTCTGGGGTTGTTCTGAATACTGAGGGCTTTGCCATCATGTGGACAGTGCAGCTTGCATGGTCATGAGTCTGCAGAGCCTCAGATGTGTGGGCCTGAGGGAGATGGCTGCGTGTGCCATCCCACACATCACACATCGTGACCTCCCAGACCTTTTGTAGTGGCTCAGCCTGTCATATGTCTCTGCCCTGCGTCCTTGCCAACAGAAGTGGGAAGCAGATGCTACAGTGAGACCGGTCACATGGGGAACTCTGAGTGTCCTGAATTTCCAGGGTCTGGAATGTTTCTAGCCCCTCTGGATGGTCCTGACACTTCCCTCCTCTGTGAGCTGAGACACTGTGGCTGTTCACTGCTTAATCAGAACCCCAAATGTTCGGCTTGGTCATTTCTCTGTAGTTATCAATCCTCGGGTTTTCCCACTTGTGTCTCAGACCCTGGGAGTCCAGGCTGCAGTCCAGGCTGTGTACCTCCCGACTTCTGAGCTCCTGTCCCTTTACTGTCAACAGAAACCAGGCCTGTAGTGAACTACACATGAGCATGGGGCTCAGGGGATCTTTGCACACTGTAGACAGCCTATGGCGTGGGAGATCAGTGTCCTCTTAATCAGTAGTGATAGTGGACTTTGGTTTTGTTCTACAAAGTCATCGCTTTGCAGTTAGCTCCTCTATTTGGACACAGAGTCAGGGTTAAGGCCAACACCAGCCAGGGGGACAGGCCAGCAGGGCCAGTGCAGTTGGAGTCTTTCCTCTCTGTGATGGACACCTCCTCTCTTAGGCAGGTGGCCACATGCCTTCCCAGCATGCCGCCTCCTTTGCCCCCTGGGCTGGTCATGCCATTGGCTGTGCCCACTGTGCCTGGTGCTGAGTTTCTCATGGGTGTGGCACTGTGCTAATTTTCTGTGTTTACACCTGGTCACTGCCACCCACAGTCTGTTCCCTTAGGTTTCCCCACACAGTTCAGCATCTCTTTTAAGCTTTCTTTAAATGACTCCCACCAAACTCATTGTAGATTTATTATAGTGTCTGGGGAAAATGAAGTCGTGCACCTCTGTCATCTCTGCCCCGGTGCCCAGTAGGTATGTGTCCTGCGCTGTGCCTCAGTTTCCCCTCATCAGGATGCAGGCATGGCTTTCCTTAGCGCCCACCTGAATGTAGTTACCTGAAAGTCCTCCTTAAAGATGAGCAGACCTAGAAACACAAACATGCTCTGAGTGTGAGCAGGAAAATTCCATCAAGATTCCTTGCTTTCAGCCCTTCGCAGGCCTGCAAATACATGCTTTAGTTGGCTTTCCCGGGCTGCTTCTCCTCTTAGATGATAGGCATTATAAGCCTTAGTTGATTTTCCACTTCTGAGAATTAATATTTTGGATCAAGAGCTTATAAGATACATCATTTTGGCAAAGAAGTTTCAGCATCAAATTTTGTTTGAGATTCAGTGATGGTTTTTTTTAATTCCTTGACTAGTAATGGCTTGTCAGCTCAGATGTTTCAGCTATCAGAGGAGGAGAACTTTGAGAAATTGATGATGTCCCTGGGTCCCTGAAGACACAGGAAAGCAGGTCGTGTGGTCTCACATGATGCTCCTGCATGCGCCCAGGTTGTTCCTGGCTGTGTCGCCCCAGCCACAGCACCAGGGCTAGGAGGACTCATGCTGCCATGGCTGTGAGCCACATTCACCCCCATCCAAATGTGCAGCCATGGCTGGCACTCAGGGCCGGACGTGACACCTGACTGCTGTCTGAGGCAGAAGGGCAGAGGTTCAGTTTGTGCCTGCGTTCTAGCTGACCTTATTGCCTGCTCTCTTCACGCGGCTGATTTGGATTTTGCTCCACAGCACAGCACAGACTAGATGACTTTGGTCACTAAGAATCAGGGCATAATTACATCAGAGCACAGAGTGTCTCTCCAAGGCAGCCTGTGGGGTCCAGGTGAGGGAAGGAACTGCTGGGCAGCACTGAGGCTCTCCGGCAGGTCCGCCCACCTCCAGGCGCAGACGGTTTGGACCCCTTGGGCAGCTTCCCCACCCCACTTTCTCAGGTGCTTAGCATTCAGCTCCTCTCTGTGCCCCCACACTTCTGTCCTGGAAACCGTTCTCCACTGTCGCCTTGGAATGCTGGCACGATCTTCCATAGTTACTTTCATGGAGAAAGTTCTTGCAGCACCTTGGGGCTAAGTGATGTTATGGGTTTTTCCTCATGTTTGGGAACCCGGGGGTACAACACTTTTCTGAAAGAACACACAAGCAGAATTTCATAACCCCAAGCCTCTTAAGCAAGAGGAATCCCTGCATAAACTGCAGGTTCCTTCTAAATGATCCCGTGTAGGTAGAAAAACTTCCCACCCTAGGAAAATGCTTCTCCACTTCATTAGAAACTCTTGATGTAACCATAGAGGTCTCCACCCCGTGTTCCTGTGCCCCAGGGCTCAGGCATACAAGCACAGCAAACACGGCTGTGAAGCCCTGCTAGGGATGCTAGGGAATGAAAGCTACTCAATTTCCTCACCTAGTCACGGACCAGGTGGACTAAGATACATCACTAACCTGGTCAACTGTCATGGTTGGATAGCATACAGCTTTATTAACTTTTGTCTTCTGATACAAAATATTTCAATTAATTTGAGTTATTGGCAACAGGGTTGACCTTGACTTCCATACGGCATCTCTTCAAGTACAGTGAAGAAGTTCATTCTGTGTTTCCCAAAACGCATCTGTTATCTTATAGTAGCACGCAGTCTGCCCTCTCCCCATGGTCTTAAGTGCTTCCTGCTAAGCACATGTGCAGTGAGGTGCAGCTCACTCCAGACCCACTCAGTGTGTGGCGGTAGTGTCCCCCTCACTGAGCAGCCACTGAACACCCCTCCCCAGCAGCCTCTGGTGACCACCGCCCACCTGGGCTTCCCAAATCCCGACTGTCATACTCCATTGTGACAGTAGAATCATGCAGTGCTGGTCCTTGGGTGCCAGGCACTTGTTTCCCTTGGTGCCGTCCCTCCAGATGTCTAGGTACCTGCACAGGACAGCCTGCTCCTCTTCTGGCAGAATGGAATTCTGTTGCATGTAGATTGTGTGCATGATCCACACTTACACAAAGATATGTGTGTGCCATTCTCTTTATCCATCTGGTGTTGGTGGACACTTCGGCTGTCCCCACACCTTGGCAGCAGTGAATATCCCTGCAGTGAACAGGGAGAGCAGGTACATTTCGAGGCCCTGGATTTATTTCTTTTGCATGGACCACATGGCAGTCATTTCTCATTTTACTGTCACATTGCAAAGACCGTAACATAGGGAACTCTTCAGAGAGCTACTCTTCTGGTAGCTTCTTACGTCACTGAGGCTAAGGACGAGCTTGCCTTTATCTCATGAGTCACACAGGCCTGTGTGTGTTTAATGGGTTCACAATGCTGGAGCAGTGACCACTGACTGAGGGCACTGACTCTCCACGTGTGACACCTTCTGGGGGGACTCTGAAGTGGGCGCCAGGTGAGACCCTTCCTCTCTGCCCACAGAGCCTGTCAGGTCATCAGGTCCTGTGTCTGTGGGGATGTGCGCCCACATTGCCCTCCCCCTCGGAGATGGCCCTGCTTGCAGGAGTGCTGACTTTTGTGCTGTCTGCTTCACCTCCAGCTGTGCCCAGAACCAGCGACACCCAGTGCAGCTCTGTCCCTGAGCCCAGGTATGGGCGGAGGATTGGATCTGAGTTCTCAGCCGGCTCTATCGTGCGATTTGAGTGCAGCCCCGGGTACCTGCTCCAGGGGTCCTCTGCCATCCGCTGCCAGTCAGTGCCCAACGCGTTGGCACAGTGGAATGACACCATCCCAAGCTGTGTGGGTAAGAGCATCACAGGGCGGGGTCCCCAGGCAGGTGATGGGCTGGGACTTGCAAGGAAGTGAGCCTGCTCCTAACCTACACAGAGCACAGTTTTCTTTGCCAGGAATAATTGAGGAGCAGCCAAATCTGTAAACCAACTCATCAGGTTAATGCGGACAAAACATGCTTTCCTGCTTTGCATTCACAATTACTAAGCATACCATTCATCCTACTGTGAGGGCATGCGGCGCGATTCCACTGGGCATCTCACCCTGAGGGTCAGTAGCTGCACTTCCTGCATGACGTCCTCCTGATACATTTGTGCTGATGGCCCTGGAAGCTGTGGTAGCAATGATGTCATCAGCTACAGTTTGCTCACTTTGTGTGGGAAACTCTAGTGCAACCATGGTTAGCTCTGGAAGCCTTTGTGCACCTTTAACATCTCTTCTCCCCTCCACTTCCTCTGGATTTGCAGTCTGTGAGGATGAACCCTGAGCTGCCAGGTTCTGGGATCAGGCCAATGAATTGTTCTGAGCACAGTGCAGTCCAGAGACACAGGAGCTGTCTCTTTTTACAGATCTGGAGAAGGTTTATTCCCAGACTCAGGTCAGAACTTAGGAGCAGTTGATAATCACTGATACTGCTAATTTAAAAGTCACTGAACTTTGTCTCGATGACAAATGCCAGTGAAAGTATCACTGCAAGGGGCTGGGGGTTTAGCTCAGCGGCATAAGCACCTGCCTTGCAAGCAGGCGGTCGTGAGTTCGATCCCCGGTACCGATAAAAATGAAAAAGACCAAAAAAAGAAAGTATCACTGCAGTGGTGAGGCTTCTCTGGCTACCTGATCACACAGCAATAGGAAACTAAAGGTCAGGTGAACACGGCACTCACTGTGTTTCCGCTTCACCTAAACACGGCTGTGTCCTTCAGTTCCCTGCAGCGGCAACTTCACCCAGCGGAGGGGCACCATCCTGTCCCCTGGCTACCCAGAGCCCTATGGCAACAACCTGAACTGCGTGTGGAGGATCCTGGTGACAGAGGGCTCCGGGATTCAGGTGTGTGGGCTGCAAAGCCTGGAGTCCAGAGCCAGGCTGCGGGCTTCCTGGGCCTCAGGCTTCAACTTCCTTCTCTCCTCTTCCCCCACCTCCTCTTTGGTTCCCTTCCCCTGTCCTCTCCCTTTCTTTTCCCCCCCCTTTTTCCCCTTCCCTCCCTTCCTCCTCTTCTCTCCCCCCTCCTTCCCTCCCCTCCTCCCAGCTCCCTTCCATGCCCCTCCCCTCCTCCCTCAACCCTCCTCTCTTCTTTCCCTGTCTCTTCTTCTCTTCCCTTTCCTTTCTGCCCTCCCTCCCTTCTTTTCATCCCTCTCTCTTTCTTATTTTCTTTTTTTCTGTCTCTGCTTCTATTTTCCTCCTTCTTTCTCTACTTCCTTTTACTTTTTCTGTCTGTCTTTTCTTTTATGTTGTTTATTTTAGCATAGGCCATAATCTAGTTATCTTTTCTTAGTAATGTCACAAACTGTGTCTCATAGTGTTTCTCCGTTTGGGTTAGCAATAACTGACTTGGAGAAAAAAATCTGTGTTAGAAAGTGATTTTCAGAGTTCTTTGTTCATGACGTCACACGCTACTTCCTCCGGTTTCGGTGTTGTGTCCCTAAGTCCCAAATGCCATGCATCTGACCATCGTGATGTCCTTTGGCCACAGCTGCCTCCTAACCAAGCCCTCTGCTCTGGCAGATCCAGGTGATCAGCTTCGCCACGGAGCAGAACTGGGACTCGCTGGAGATACACGACGGTGGGGATGTGAGCGCCCCGAGGCTGGGCAGCTTCTCAGGTACAGTGAATGACCGCAGTTCTGCGGCTCTGTGAACTAGAATCTGTAGCTGGTCCAGCACCCAGTGCATTGTCCTGCAGAGTTCCCCAGCTCCATGATGTGTCTGGAGGGTTTGACCAGGAGACGCATGGGAGGGGATGCATCCGGGCAGCTCAGCTGGCTGTCAGGGTCCCTGGCAGTTCTGGATGGTAGGCTGAGTGCGGGGAGCAGGTGGGAGCATTTTCACTCAGGGCTCAAGAAGCTGTGCCATCCCTGCGTGCTAAGACCCGCTGAATCTCCGCCTGGGCTGGGCAGCCCCACTGCTCATACCTGAGCCTGCTACCACCTGCAGCTCCATCTTCCACATGAGGCCAGGCCTTCCCAAATTCATGCCGCCCAGGGTTTCTGCTCCTCCCTTTGCTGTGGTCTCCTTCCCAGGTCAGAAGAGCAGGTTATATCCCCCAGATCCTTCTCCTCAGGGCAGACGCCATCCCTGTGGGTGAGTACCCGTGACCCACCTCCCCAGGGTGGACACCTGAACTATGGATGAGTCCCCGTGGCCCTCCTCCTCAGGGTGGGCACTGTCCTGGTCTAGACCCACCAACCTCTTCGTGCACTCACACAAGTGTTCACACTGACCTGGAGATGGCTCTAGAGCCTCACTCCGCTCCCCACCTCCCAGGATTCCTTCTTTTATAAAATTGGCCCAAATGATGGCCCATATTCATACCCCACCAGGGCAGGACAGGCAGGTCCCATTTCTGATTTATACTGAACTCGTGTTTCCGTATTCCGCTCTGGCTGGGTGATGAGGGGTGGTGCAGGCAGCCTGTCCTGCCATCTGCCACAAGAGGATTTCCTCACCTGCCATGATCCAGGCTCCAGTCTCTGGCTGGCAGCAAACACAAAGGCGTCTCTCTCCACGTCCCGGCCCCAGAGCAGAGCCAGCATCACACCCCGCCGTGCGTGTGCCTGCAGCTCTCTCTGCTGTGCGCTGTTCTTGATGCATCCTGGAGCTCCCATTGCCAGTGGCTTTGAAATCTAGGCATCGTCTCTGCTGTACCACACCCTCCCCCGGCCTCTTGTCACAGTTCTCTTTAGCAGGTGTGAATGCATGTGTGTGCCTGTGTGTGTATGTGCGGTGCTGGGGTGGAGCCCAGGTCCTCCTATGTGCTAGTCAAGTGCTCACAACTGCACAGTTTTCATATTTAAAATCTGTCTCATTGAACAAGTTCATCTTGGTACAGATGAACTTTGGCAGTCCTAGCCTCTCCGGAGGTGAATAGATTGTCACATTTCAGGCGTCAGTGACACGAGAGCTGACCCCTTCTCGGGGACCAGATGGACGTGGAGTGGAGCAGCCTTGCCAGGCCCCCACATAGTCCTGCTCCAAGCAGAGCCCCAAACTCCACTGCCCTCACCTCTGGTGCACACCCAGAGAGGTGACCCGCCCTGTGGCTGACCACGGTGGCAACCTGCTGTCCTAGGCTGAGCTGGGCAAAGATGCCCCCAGCTCCTGAAACCCCGGGCCAGTGCTTCCCTGACCTCGGGCAAGGGACACCACAGACGGAATCGCCTGGATTCTGCCCCAGTGCCCAGACTCAAACTGGGCAATAATCCCCTAAAATGGCCTGTAGATCAAATATGCCAAGATCAGAAAGGACTGAGATCAAAGACCCTCCTGACTGATGACCCTTGCAAGGTGTGATGCCCAGCCATCTGCAAGAGCTTTGCCATTGCAGCTGGTCATGAAGTTAAAGGAGGTCCAGAACACAGACCTGCTGTGCTGGCCATCCTGGGCTTGGTTTGGAGAGCCACTGTGTTTGAAGAAATCCATGGCAAGTTTTAAAAGAGATGGAAAAAACATGTGAAACCCAAAAATAATTATAAAATTCTAAACAAAGGTGCAAATGCTTATGTATTATAAATACAGAGAAAGAGATATAATGATGTAATGTACTGAGAGGTCAGACTTTCTGTATTATACTTACAAATATTTTTAAGTAAGAAATCATTTCAAACTTTTTAGAAGGAGATGGAAGAAGACATTAGGTGGGAAAATCACACATCAGTGAAGCAGTTTGAGAATTTTAGAACCTAATCAATATCTAAACATTGTTATTCTTGTGATACTTAAAAATATTTATAAAGGAGATAGTATATCCATTGAAAAGTTATCTGTTGAATAAAAACAAGCAGGAAGGAGCAGTTATAAAAGGTACACATTTCAAGAAAAAGGACTGACACCTTTAATATATTCAGTGTTTTGATTTTTCGTTTCTGCTTGGGCAGGCAGAGTACAGAGGCCTCTGTTTTTGTAAGCCATTAAAAATCATTTCTGGAAGCAGGCAGGTTATAAATTGTAAATGAAAGAAGCAGCACAAAATGCATACAGATTTGTAGCTGACAATCAGCATTAGAGAGAAGTAAACACCTGTGTGCTGAGCGTGGGGTCTTCAGAGACAATAATGCGATTTCCCAGTTTACTTTGTTGCCTGTTGTTTTATGCAGGACACAGTGAAACAATTCTGCCTGCAACAATTCTTGAAAAATCGCTCAGCTGCATTTGTGAGGAGCGGGGAAGGTATTAAGCACCTCTGATGGCCCCTTAGGAGCAACACCCAAAGGGGAAACCGGCCCCAGGGAACCCTGGCACCGCATGGCACACCCTGCCAGGCACCCTCCTGCCCTGCCCGGGCTAGGGACACCTGTGTGGCCCGGGTGCCATCTGGAGCAGTGGGTGACTGAGCCTGCCACAGGTGGCAACAATGGCCTGCACCCGGCCGGCACCCAGAAATGATTAAGTAGCAATTTAATGAGTTTCTTCTTTAGCTTCCCATTGTTGTGACAAATACCAGAGCATCAACTCGGGAGGAGAGAGTTATTTTGGACTTTGGCTCGCATAGTAGTCAGGAAGCAGACAAAGAGAAAGCAGGGAGCCCAACACAGACCTCTCCAAGGCCTATGCCTAGACACCATGTCCAACAGCCACAGAAGCCACTGTGACTCGGCCACGCAAGATGAACCAGGAAGAACAGCAAACACCGTGGACTGATGCGTGTGTTCAAGTTACTATGCTGTTGGCCGGGAATACATTTTAGAATGCATAGGACAGAACCTCATCCCATAAGGGGTGCATCAGGAAACACTGAACCAAGTGTGCCCCACTGGAAAGGTGAATCCAGACCCTGGAACCCAGAGGCCAGGCCCTGGCCTGGGTGCCTGCGGCTTGGAGCTTTGCGGAAAGTGGGCGTGGACAGAAGTTCTCTAGGCCTTAAGAGGCTGCAGGGCAGGCGGGGAGGAGGGAAGGCCCTGAGCTTCCAGGACTTCAGGAGAACCAGGCTAGATGCAGCCAGTGACACCAGATGGCGCGAGGCTGGTGCTGGGGCTGTGTGGTGACTCAAATACTGGTCTTCTGCAGTGTCAGCCAAGTGCAGCCGCAGTGAGTGAACCACGGGCATCACAGCCGCCACCACAGTCGGTGGCACCCTGCCTCCTCCCCATGTGAGAAAGGGTCTGGACTGGGCCCCAGAAGGAACCGCCACCACCTGTCACTCCTCCCTGTTCTGGTCTACTCTGGGGGGGGTCCCTGTGTCCTCAGCCGAGGCAGGGGGAGCTGGGCACCCCGCAAGACAATTTCTTGGTGCCTACCAGCCAGGACTCCAGTCACGCCATCCTGCCATCTGCACCCCTCTGCCCCCCAATTCCCCACTGTGCCCTCTAATGATGACCCCCTTGCCATGCTGGTGCCGACTAGCTAGTTCACTGTGCAGCTGTTCGGCTGTAAAAATTACCTGCCATTCAAGGACATCTGTCATCTGTCATCTGTCTTTAATCTCCCTGTCCTTCATCTGTAGTCCGTCAGTCTGGTGAATCAAGGATGAAATCAAGCAGCACCCTTTTTTCTCCTCACAGTACTCCTCTGGGGGGGCCCTGCACTGACGACTTGAGACATCTCTGGGGACCCTCTCCCCTTCACAGTGATGAAAATGAATTGCAGTCAGACCCCGAGTCTCCAGCAGGGACCCCAAGGCAGGGCGCAGGAGAACCCTTTCTTCCTTCACCCCTCCTTAAATACTCTGCACCGGCCAGCATGATCCACAGTCTCTGGGTGCCAACTGGCCAAAGACACCACTGACACTGCCCTGTAAGGAGCATGTTCAAGTCATAGGTGAACACCGCACATCCGGGGAAGACTCTTTATGCCAAGCCAGGTGTGAGGGCACATTCCTGTCATCCCAGTTCTCTGGGAGGCTGATGCAGAAAGATGATAGGTTTGAATTCTGGGCCAGGCCCTGGATTCAATCACCTGTACCCCAAAATAGATACTGAAAGATTCTGAGTGCTAATCTGCACTCAGCGAAATGCCCCTCCTGTGTCTTCAGACTGTCCAGGCATGGATTCTTTCTCTTTCCCTGGCATTCCTTCCTCTGGCCGCTGGGAGTGAGTCCCATGTCAGCACGGCAGGTGACCTTGCATGTGCTTCTTTAGCTTTGTGCTCCTCAGAATCTGGGCCTTGGAAAGCAAGCAGGTGATGTGGGGAGCAGGCTGGCTGGGGTGGCTCCTCCAGGGAGTCCTGATGGGTTCTTCCCTCCACCGGGGAGGTGGTAGGACCTCAGAGCACACATCCTGGGTGGGACCCTTCACACATCTCTCTGGGCTTGATGTTGAAAGGGTCTTAATCTGGGCCACATGGTGGGGGTCTCTGGAGCCCCTCCTGGGGTTGCTGGCTGGGCTACAGCTGCCAGAGACACTGAGCCATTGAACAGAAAGTGGGGGACAGAAGACCTTTAGTTTTTGAGACTGTTCACCTCCCTTGGATACTTCTGAACTTACTTCTTGATGGTTTTGTTTGAAGCATCTTCTGTCTCCTCATGTACTGGCACTTCCTGGCTGCCCTGTGAAGAGTTTTACCTGGCAGATGTCCACTCTCTATCTGCCATGTGCATCCTTCTTTCTTAGAGCAGCACAGTGAGGTCAGCACAGTGGAGAATTCAGCACACACACTTTAGGGGAAAATTCTTTAACTTGCTCACCCTTTCCCCATAGGAGGATGTGTCCTACAAAACTGACTTCAGCCCCTGACTTGACCCTGTCTCTTTGCCTCAGCGCCCTTCTGTGCAAGAGCGTTCACTCTGTGGCAGCCTGGCTGCCTTTCTCCCCAGGTGCTGGTCGCCCTCCAGGAGTGAGCACTTTAGTGAAAGGAAACATTTGCTTTGCACACGTGGTGGCCAGGTTGTTTGCACCCCGGTGGAAACACTGCTCAGTATGAGTCTCGTAGTGAAGCTCTGCAGAGTCAGAGGCCACCTCTGCTAGTGCTGGGTGACAGCTGCCCAAGGGTGACCTATGCACAGTGCCTAAGTGAGGACTGGGTGCTAAGATTTTGTTCCTTTGTTCATGCTGAATACAGCGATTTCAAAAAACAGTTTACACTGTTTAAAAGCCCAAAATTTGTGTATCCCAAATCCATACAAGTGCAAGTCTGTGTGCTAATGCCCTGGGATGATAGCTTGACACTCAAAGAAATGCCTGAGCCCTTCCTTGTCTCCAGAAGAGCGGGGCAGCTTCTCGAATGACAGTCACCTCCAGTGATCAGATTAAACTCAAGCAAGCAGATCAGACCTCAGTGATTTGTGACCCAGTCAGCCCCTCCAGTGTGGAACTCACCTGCTCTCTCTTTTACAGGAACCACAGTGCCCGCCCTGCTGAACAGCACCTCCAATCAGCTCTACCTGCATTTCCAGTCTGACATCAGCGTGGCTGCGGCTGGCTTCCACCTGGAGTACAAAAGTAAGATCACCCGCCTCTGCATCTTTCATGGTTCCCTGAGCAGTTTTCTTGAAAGGCAAAAAATGCATGCACTTGTTGAATAGTGAAATCTAAAGCAGTGTTTTCGATTTGCATCAGATTGGGTCTTTCCGGTCCAAAGCTCTATGAAATATGCCTTAAGATGATGAATTAATGGGAAAGCTGGAATAATTACCTGGTGTCTCAGGTTGCTTGTGGCAGGGCCATAAAGCACAGCCATTTGTGATAATACTGATTTCCCCATGGCTATTAGCAAATATTCATATTAGTGTCTGGGACCATAGGAAAACCTTAATTTCCAGGTAGACTCTTAATCTTAAAAGCTGTTAAAAGAAGAGGAGCAAAAAGGAATCATGTCAGGAGAAGCTTTGCTCATTTTAACTGGGGAAGCTTCTCGGCCGGACGCTAACCTTTTCAACATGTGTGCCAGGCCGAGTTAACAGTCTGATAGGCAGGATGACAAAAGTCAGCTCTAAAAGGTCCTCGGGCATCTGATGACTCTGGTAGACCCTGTAAAAGCCAAGAGTGGACGTCCACTGAGAGAGGGGTTTATTGTAGGACACGTTTTCGAGCACTAAAAATGCTTGATGTTGGTATTCATCTCCTTTAATAAGCAGTTGCAAATAAGCAAATATACAGATAAGCTTTAATAAGAGATTTTTTGAATTGAGACAAATGGTTTGGTAGGGTGTAATGCATGCATTCTCTGAAAGGCCAGATTTCCAGCTGATGATAAATATTCTGAACTAGTCACAAGCTGAAGGCCCATCTCACATTCTGGTTAAATCCCCCTCCTTTTTACAGGCATCAGTATGCAAGCGTTTTCCAATTGGTAAGAACAGGCCGACTTAGCAACTACATAGAATGATACCCTGCTGTTGATTTACGTGGGGCACGTCTGGAAAAATCTGCTGCTTTGACACAATTTGCAAACCTCTGTAGACAGGAAATATAAACCTTATTTATTATAGTGTTAATATATTCGTTCATATTTTTAGCAGTGTTAAACACTCTCTTGACTCTGAAAGTTATCTTGTAGTCTCTGGGTTTACATTTACTTTTTACGGAAAGAGATGCTGGTAAAATAATTAGTCTGTAATAATCGCTTACAGTCATTGAGTTCTTGGTGGGATCCAGCACCATCAGCACTCCTAGTTACACCCACGTTTTCCTCCTCAGTGCAATTCTCTAAAGAGGGGAGACTCACCTACTTCTCAGCGGCACAGACCTAGTTCCAGGATGTGAGGCTTTACCTGAGCGTATAAGATTTTAATTACCAGCTGCATTCATTTTTTTATTCGACCAAACAGTGCTACATCTTTCCTTGTCATTTTCTTTCCTAAGTGGTGGCTTTCCAAGGCTGAAGCCTGGTGACAGCTCAGCCGTTTGCATATGAACAGAAAGTCATTGCCTCACTCTTCACACCAGAGTTCCAAGTGCAGACTTACAGGGTAATTTGAGAATTGGCCTTACTAAAGTCAGTGCCAAGTGACAGGGGTCTTTTGATGTACCTTGGCACAGTTTCCAGTAATTTCCTCCGTGAACACATTGGGACATTTACCTTCATATGTATATATATATATATATATATATATATATATATATATATAGAGACAGAGAGAGAGAGAGAGAGAGAGAGAGAGAGAGAGAACCTGCCTATCTGCATTGAAGTTTCTCACTAAAATATCAATCAGTTACTTTTCTCATTAGTAGGTGGAAAACCTAGCACACACCTGTTGAAGGAGGCAAGGTCTATTTGGACTCACAGTTGGTAGAGCTTTCAGTCCACCAGCACCTGGCTCCAAGGCAGAGTAGCATGGCACCCACAGAGCAGGAAGCCCTCCCTCTGCTTTTCTGCTTAGTTTCATCCAGCCTAGAAGGGGCTCCACTCTTTAGTAACTCATCATCTGCACCCAGAACCATGGTCCAGCCTCACACGCCCATGCTCCAGTGTTACAGTCCATGGTCCAGCCTCACACACCCGTGACCTAGCACCACACACAAATGACCCAATCCAGTCACTCCCCATAGCCCCACCCGTGTGCACCATGACTTTGCGGACATCTAGATTTCAGACCTTACACCCTCTTGCCTCAGCCAGCCAAGCAGCTGCCTGTTGCTGTCCCCCTACCTGGCGGGCTCTGCCTCAGGGCCACTCAGTTGCTGTATCTGACTCTGCATCTTTTGGAGGCTCTGCTGATCAGAGTGGCCTATCTAGCCTCTCTGCTTCCTCCCAAAGCAGACAAATCCTAGCCGTACTGGGGTTGGAGGAGACCCCAACCTGTCCCCTGTGTTCATCCTCCCTGGGTGGGCTGGGCCAGGCTGTTCCCTGGCCAAGTAGTCAGGTAGGACACCCTTCCCCTCTCCTGCCCTCAGTGGCCTGATGGCTCAGGCAGCCTTGGCATAGCCAGATTTGTCCTCCCCACAGTCTCCGAGTGTATGGCCAGGGTCTGTGTGGTGTCCACGCCCACTCACAACGTCTGTGTCCTGGGCCTGAGGCGAGGTTGGGAAGCAAGGGCAAAGCCCCTCCTCTTGGGGTCTTCGAGGGCCCCATTCTGCATGGAGGCTTTCTCATTTGTGCGGATCTGTCCCTGCCTGACCCTGCTGAGCTCCGGCCCAGAAGAGCCTGAGTGTCCTCCCTGTGTCCCTCGGGGCCTGGTCTTTTACAGTTGAGGTCCTCCAGGTGTCTCCAGCCTCCACTTCCTAGTGACTCTGAAGGTCAGGGCATGAGGGCTGGGCCTTCCTCACTGTGACCAGGCAGCAGGGCAGGTTTTGTTCTGTGGCCTCCTGCCTCCCAAGGGTGAGGTTTCCAATTACCGGAGTTCAAGAGGTTTTTTCATTGAGAGCTTTAAAAATTGCTCTGGTGGGTTTCAAGATTCCTTTTAAGGATTCAGGGCTTTTAGATTGCTCTAGTGCAAGCATGGTTATGTGAATGCTAAATTATGTTTTTAGGGTAACTGTTGGGATGCCCCTTGAGTGCTGATTCTGAACTGAAATCATCCTTTGAGTGTCTATCACCTGTCGTCTCTCTCACACTAACTTTTCAGCGGTGATATCCGTTTCATCATAAAGATTGGTGTTCACAGATATACTACAGAATTATAGATGTGATGGACTGTATTTACAATACAGATAAACTATTACAGGATAAACCCATCTAATTGAGAATTGCTCCTTGTGTGAAGACTGATTGCAATGGAAACTACTTACTCTGAATTTTAGACACAGCAATGCATGTATAATAAGCATGCTTTTAAAGTTTGAGCCTTCTATTTTATTTAAAACATTTTAAGTTAGTACACAATAGCCATACATGGTGATTGCAGGCATCATGGTTCTTGTCCATAGCACGTGCTAAGGCTGGTTTTTCCTCTATTCTTCTCATCTCTTCCTGCTCCTTCAGACTCTTGCTTCCCTGCCCATTTGAAAAAGCTGTTTCGTTTTTTTTCAATTCATTTTTCCCATTTCCTTTTCCCTTTCCTCCCATTTGCAAAATAGTGCCTAGTTTCTGTTATTTTCATTTTGTTTTGCTTTTTATGCCTCAGATATCTCATGATATGTAAGCTCAAGTATCTGATTTATTTCTCTTAACATTACGATTTCATGATGCTCCCATTTTTCTGCAGATGACTGAAGTCTGCCCTTCTGTACCAGGAGTAGTAGCCAGAGCCATCTGTGTATAAAGCATGTTCATTGTTTCACATCTTCATGGACATGCAGTCCTCTTCAGAGATTTAGCTGTTGTTAGTTGTGCTGCTGTAACATTCTTTATTGAATGAGCTGAGTATGCAGTGACCAGAAACACCCAGGATCAGGGCTTCTGTTCCATGTTAAAATCACGCATGCAGCACCCTGGGCTCTGCAAGGCAAGTTCGTCTCCCAGCCCTCCAGGCCAGTAAGGACCTGAGCCGCCTGGGTGAGGATTGCATTTTGCTGCCTCTGTCTCAGAGGTAGTTTCCCATATGGAAGCCCAGGGTATTAAGAGAAGGTATTTCCATAGTGTCCAGGGCATGAGGAAGCGCAGGCAGGCCAGATGGGCCAGCTACAGTGCAGTGTTGGTCTCAGACACATGCCAGGACGTCACTGTCCTGTGTCCAGTGGTTAGTGGCAGGCTGTGTGGTGACACCTGTGGTGGGGTGGGCAGAGAGATGGAGGGGAGACACATTTATTTACATAATCCTCTTTGAAACAACAAAAATATAGTAGTAACACGGAGAAGTAAGCTCCTTTCTCTATATTCTGAGAGGTGCTTGTCATTTTTAAGCGGATAAGCTTCAGAAGAGGTTTCCAGGTATAAGATTCGTCTGACACACACAAGTTTTCCTCCAGTGCTGGAGACAGCTCAGTTGACCACTCTGACTCAGGCAGGGCTGAGTTGGCCACTGAAGGGGCCGCAGACTGTGAGCTCTGTCAAGTCTATCTCATGTTCATTTTGAAATATTCCCCTTGAGGCTGGTTTTCGGGGGTTTAGTGTCTTCCAGCCCTGTGTGAGCCACAGCACTCAGAAGGGAGGCCCTAACTAAGGGCTGAAATATGAGAAGGCCTTGTGTCCTTTAGAATATCCTGGGCTGCATGGTTTTAGCAGGATACTAACTTAAGTGCATATTGAGGATTTTGATGGACCTCTGATGACCTCACCCTCTGACCCTGCTAATCACAAATGCCTGTTTTAGAGACACTGCAATCTCACCTTGTGGTTTGGCTAGGTTCTTTGTTTGCACTGTGGCCCCAGCACCGCCCAGGGGAGCAGGGCAGGCAGCCTGGGTGCCAGTGCAGGGATTCTGCTCCCCACCACGAAGAGGGCCCAGCCCTCCCTGCCGGGGACCCTGAAAAGCAAGAGCTCAGGCACCTGTGCGAAGGAACTTCCTTTTACCTCACTTCATGGGAAGGCCCTTCATGTACTTTATTAAGATTAATCAGTCCTTAAGATTATCCCTAACTATTTTCATTCCCAAAAAATTCCCCAAAGGCCTTCTTTTAAC